ACGTGTGATGAACTGACCACAACCCCCATTCCCCGTCCCCCTGTGCCGCTTGGAGGGTGTAGGTAGAGAATTCAGGAGTAAAATTGAACCTGGGAAGAAGGGAGGGGTGGGGGGAAGGGGTTTTAAGGTTTAGGTTTCATTTCTCATTACCCTACTCTGATTTAATTGGCAATAAATTAATTTCTCCAGGTTGAGTCTGTTTTGCCCGTGACGCTAATTGGTGAATGATCACTCCCTGTCCTTGTCTTGACCCATGAGCTTTTCGTTACATTTTCTCTCCCCTGTGCAGTTGAGGAAAGGGTCACCGCCCCACAACAGGATTGTATTTTTAGATGTTATCTCTTTGGGGAGATTTACCATTGTCTATTTATCACCAGTTATTCTGGTATGATTCTTCATGTTGAATTTAAAAATAAAAATCTTTCTCTTGGATGTTGAAAGATAACTTTTTTTCCTGGGGAATTATACCAGTATAATTACACTGATATAATTATCTTTGTAAATCAGACACACGATTTCTCAGTGTGGGCACTGGCAAAGCACTGAATTTGGTGCTTCTGGCAATTTAGTTGCAAATAGTGTTTATTTTTTTGTGTTATAGCCTCCCCTGCAACTAAATATAGGAACAGTAACTTAAAGGGAGTGAAACCTTTGCTATCTTTTCTGCTAGTCACTCATTTTCTCTCTATTAAAATGATGGGTGAAAAAAACCCCAACCTGGCATCAATCTCCAGTTAAAAATTACTTTTAAAAGTATGTCAAATGCAAGAACTTTTATTTTCATCCTTGGAATGCAGAAGCAAAGTGAAGCCTTGTTAATGTAGTGGCAGTTCAGCTTGCTTCTAGCTTACAATCTTCCTTTTATTTTCACTAATTGTCTCCTTTTTTAGTTTCTGACAGCAGTAGGGTTGATTATAAAGGTGCAGCTATCTCTGAACTACCAGAAAGAGTTAGCAAAGGTTTATTAAAAAGCCTTTTTATGAGGCATCTCCCTTTCCCGTATCGTGGCTAATAAAAATACCCCAAACAACGTGTCATCCCTCTCCAATCCCTCCCTGCCCCGCAAGAGCTAGTTTTTGGAATTAAATCATTTGTCCGCTATTGCGTGCAGCAGGTAACGTGCAAAGGCTTGAAATAGTAATATTGCAATCCTGAAGATTATTTTTTTCCCTTTGACACAAGTATTAGAAATGTTACTGGTCTGAAAGATGGAGGAAAGGGGTTTTTTTCTCAGTGAACATTTGTCTGTGTTTTGCAGGGCTTAGACATCCTTGTGATCGTCTGCAGAGAGCACAGAAGCTACCGTTATCTTGTAATGTCTGCAACCAAAAGCCATTGTAATGCCAGATTTGGTTGTGTTTGGGAAGGGAAGCTTTCAGCTGAGCAAGTGATGACACAAAGCTGATGCATTTTATCACAGGGGGTGGACTTTGCCAGTACTGTAAGAGCCTTGGGCATTACAAGTTTGGCATGAGGACCGTTTTCAGACAGTAAATACCAGAAATGATCAATGTTTCTCTACATCCGTAAAGGGTTTGATACAGCTATAAGGTCATTACCTACCTCTGCCATCATTTTTGATGCCAATCAACCCAGCATTGTCCAACTTTAAGCAAACTGGATGATGGGAGGTAACTCTTCCCAAAGGCGTTTCCTAAAAAAGGAGGCCAGTCATACAGCCCCAATATGTGTTCTAAACAATTGCAGTGAGTTTCTGGAGATGACTGAAAACTTCCCATGTTGCTAGATAAACATTTCTGACTTGTGTGTGGCTTTATTTGAAGGAGTGCTCTCTGTGCCTCTCTGTCTGCTCCTTAGACACGGGCTACAAAAATCTACTTCACCGTTGTAAATTTAGCAGCTATGCGTGAGAAATGGAGAAAAGAAGAAGAAAAAATAAAAAGGCATCCATACCACTGAGAGCAAAAAGGTTTTTCTCCCCCCCGGCATTGCTTTCCCAAGTTAAATGGGAAGAACTTCCTATAGAAGCAGGAAAAGGCATTGCAGAGCTGAACGTTAAATGAGCAGGATCCTCCACTGCTGCAGCCTCGCACGATTTGGTCAAGCGGAGGCAAGAACAGAAATGCTGAGTGTTAGGTTTTGTTTGTGAGCGGGCATCTCGGAGAAGCAGTAGCAATACTTGGTGATTCTCTTGTCTGCTAGAAAGTAAAACTTGTGCTCTCTTTTTTTTTAATTTTTAATTTTAATTTTTATTCATATACTGTGACTCCAGAGTGTCACCATTTGAAGCAGACGTTTAGAACACCAGATGGGAGAGTCACAGCTTTGGGGAGCTTCACTTTAGTGCACTGACTCCTAAGACCATATATATATATATGGCATCTCTTTAAAAAGCCCTACAGTTTCTTGCAGGGAACGGATTTATTTTGGAGCTCTTTCACCATCTCTGTGGATCTTGGTAATTCTGCTCTTCTGTAGTCCGGAACATCATTTTTCTAAACAGCAGCTTTTCATATTCTGGACCTTTAGCTGGTGGTTTTTCAAAATTTAAGTCACCTACTACCTTTATAAAATCTTTGTCTGCAATTTTAGAGTGGAAAAAGCCATTTAATTTTTTTCCCCCTTTTCATTCTCTGTTTTTAAAGGAAACGTGTTTGTGAAAAACGGATGTTAAAAAGGGGCTGTTTCTTGCAGTGTATAGTCATCTGTTAACTGTGAATGTAGAGAATTTAATTTGAAAGTGTAAAAAGTGATTAGGCACAAGATAGGAAGACACAACACAAAATTTTGGCTACTCTAACCTCCAAGTTAGAAAACTTAATTAGTGGTTGGCGGGGAGGTGGTTTTGCTTTTTACAAATGGAAATTCATAATTTGCTACTTGCAGATGATCCCTCAGTTTACTCTCCGCAGTTCTGTTATATGGATTAGTAGTTACCTACATCTCTTAATACTGAGATTTTAAATTACGTTCAAGTTTCTTTTCAGACCGGAAATGTAAAATGTACATTGTACAGTAAGGCAATAGATGTTCAAGACCAACAAAAACAGCTAGTTTAAGGTCATAGTGTGTAAACATTCTGCTGGAAGACTTCTTCCCCTGCCTCCTGTTGTTCATCTGTGTATAGATAATTATTACTAAATAAAGAATTTATCTTTGTGAATAGAAATGGGTGTCCTGTCAAAATGGCTCTTCAGAGGAAATAGTCGCTGCTCTGGCATACGAATAGCAGTGATTTCAGTAACAGCGAGGGGAGCATGGCTCTTCCGCTCAGAAAGGGAAGCTCAGAATTGCCCTTTTTAGTAAAAAGCAGTTGTTTGCAGTGGTTGGTAATGATAGTGAAGCTGGTAACAAATGGGGCCGCGGGGTAGCGTAAGGCAGCCGAATCCCAGGGAGGGCTCAGAAGGGTAAGGGCATACAGCGCACCCGCGTCCTCTTCCCAGTCACCTCCTGTATCCCCTTAATCTTCAGCCCATGGAGCTGCCAAACCCTGTGAAGGGCGCTCGTGTTCGATGCGTCGTGCTGATCAGGATGAAAATTCTTGTGAAAAGCTTGACTGGTTTTTACTTATTACTGTATTTTTATAAAGGTAAACTCTTGCGAACGGTAGATGTGTTG